AAGCATACAGTTTTCAAAAGCAGACAACCCAGGGCATTTCACATAGGGTATTTTAACAACCTTTGTGCAGACATTTTGCTGTCAGTTTCTGCCAATTTTTGCTTAATAGTTTTTCCTGCATTTTCCACAAATGGTTCTTTGGGGCTGTAGAGCTTTTTTGTCACTGTAAAAAAAAAAAATACAACAAAAAAAAAAACTTTATATTTAGCTACATCATCTAAAGGGAAAAAAATATTTCCTTGGTTCTTTAATATTATGCTTACTTATCTGCTATAGTTATAAATATATGTTTATGGCATCTGTGACATTGCTACTGTTATTTTTTAAATGTCTTTATGGCCCCATCCTGAATTGGGCACTACATGCTTGGAAAAGAAAATATGAACATTGTCCGTAGTATTTAAACTGACACTGCAGGCACTATAACTGTTTTATTTAACCCCTTAAGGACCATACTTCTGGAATAAAAGGGAATCATGACATGTCACACATGTCATGTGTCCTTAAGGGGTTAATCAAATTATATTATAGTGCCTGAAGCCCCCTCACACTGTCCATCTATTTGGTGTTAAACCATTTTCACACTTTGATGTTGCCTGTATCCCAAGCCTGGCCCCTTTTGGACGTATGGCTAAGACAGAGATTACAAACGTCCTTCTATCCATACTAATTCATACCAGCAATGGGCACTATGGTAAGCTGAAAGTGGCCAGCTGATACTCCCAGCCAATCAAAGCTTCCCCTTGCTGCTCAGGCCAATACTTGCTCATTAGCCCAAGCAGCAAAAAGGTGATGGGCAGCTTGGGACTCTCATTTAGCATTAAAATATAAAAAAAGGGTTTATCACTGAATGATAAGACTGTGCCAGGGGACCGTTAATGAGGTACGTATCATTCGTTAGCTTTATTTTTTATCAGCAAAGGGGAGTGGGCTGAAGGGAATTTATAGTCCCAGAAAGAAACTAGGACTATAGGCTCCCTCCAATAGTGGGATGTGGAAAGATACTGTTCTTCCCCTGACCCTCATCAATGGCTAGAGGCTGAAGCTAATAAATTAATAAATAGGGGGAGGGGGGGTCATGTCTGGGCACTGACTCATAGTCAACAGGGCTTGTTGCTAATATATACATAGGGAGACATTCCACTCCCTCCAGCTCCCTAATTTACTGCAATGGAACCAAGGAATATATTGCCAGCATGCAATGGTACTTATAATTGTCATTTGCTTGCAAAAATCAAGTTGTGTCTAGCAGGGAATTAACAGAGAAGGAGATCAGAACTTATAACTTAAACACACTGTGCAATAAAGGAAGCTTAAACATTTAGACTTCTTTTTCAGGAAAATGTAGAAAGGCTGTTTGAGTTTCAACCAGGAGAGGTATGGCTAGTGCTGCATAAACTAAATGATTTAACCTAAATGGCAGAGAGTTGAGCAGTGAGACTGCAGAGGCATCATCTATACATCATTAACACCGTCATTAAGCTAAAGTTAGTTTAGAATGTCCTTCTAAGATATTTTCAAGGACTATCACATATATTTGAAAAGTAAAAATCCAAATGTTCGTACATGGCTGACAGATAGCTAGACAAGCAGCTAGAAAGGTTGGTAGACTTGATGTTTGGGTTCATTCTCATACATTTTGAATTTTTTTACCGCAGATGATTCCCTTTATGAGTCTCCGGAGCCTATCTTCACCAGCAATAATTCGGGCCTAAGCCTCAGGGTTCCTCACCCAAGCCTTGGATTTCTTCTGTTTTGGACTATTATCGTCTTGTAGCTGTTTGATGGCTCGTAGACAAAGGAAAGAAGACAGAAGCAAACAATAAGGCACCCCTGACACCAGGAAAAGGAAGGTTTGATTTCAGCGCACACAAAAAAAAATAAAATATTTGGGGCAGCTGAAGTGTCAACATATAAGCTTGGACACTAATGGACAATCCACATTTATTGCTTGTAGGATGGGGTTCAATAAATATGCTGATTAAATTATGCCCTTGGTTTGGAAAGGTGTGCTGAAGTTTAGAGCTTCCCAAATAACTTGCTTTCTACATTTCCAGACCAAATGTATAGTCTTTTTATTTTGTATTCTTAGTATGTTTACTGCACTTGCACCAGTAGAATGACATATTTGTAAAGTTTTTTCCAGCTATCAAATGGGTTTTGGCTCATTCTGGTTGTTTACATCAGATGTCTTCTTACATTCTCTTCATTTTTCATCTCACATCCCCTCCAAAGATTTTGGATTTGTCATGTGAAATATTTTGATGGTACGTGACCTGCAAAAAACGGAGGGACCAAGATCAGTATTTATGCTCCTTAGTTGCATAGTTACCACGGGCAGCCTAGATGCTGATTGTTTGTCTTTTATAATGGATTTCTAGTGCTTCAGTTATTCACACGAGAAAATCAAACATCTTAACACACCTAGGAACCTCAGTGTATTTTTTTTCCTTTGTAGCAGTTCAGTGCTCTATCATTTTGCTCTTTATGGCAACAAGACCTAAATGACTAGTGTTAAATAATTAACTTTCCCTTCTGAACCAGTACATTAAGCTCTTAATCGATGAAATGTACCACGTGAAGCCTATTGATTCAGCATTCAGTGTATCTCCTCTTCTTTCACTATAGATTATTTGTTCTTTGGAGTGGCTAAAGAAAGTCGTGTTGATATGAGTATAGTAAACCTGTAACTAAAGAGATTTTTAGAAGAAGTTCAGTACAAAAAAAAAAAAAAGAATCGATTTTATGTTATATTTCTCTGTCCATATTGTGATGTCATCAACCAAACCTTGAATGTAGATAAAATTTTTTCCTGTAAAACAGTTCATTTGCGTTAGTGGTTAGTTTGATGATTTCACAGAGGGGTATTGACAACGAATCTTAAAGCATATTTTCTCCAGATAAACACATTTGCTGCCAGTTCTACTTGCACAGTGAATTCATAACGTTTTACGGTTTGCACATTTTAACCCAAACCACACTTAGGTGACCAGTTCACTTTTGTATACAGATAAAAACAATAACCTTATTCTTTGTCGTTGGTATTCTGTGAATAGGGAAGATAAGTATTTTTGGGAATACAGTAATGGCACATTGTAGCAGAGGATGTTCTGTGGATTATTCATTAATTTCTGTTAAATTGTAGTGGGAATAGTTGTACAGTAGTGTTAAAGATGGAGAATACAATGTGTGAGCCAATATACTCATAACATTTAAAGTTTTATTATTTTCATATGAAAAATTTTAAATAAAATAGAAAACCAGAATAAAATGTATAAAGAGATTAAAATGCTGAACAACTTGAAGATTCCCATAAAAGAAGTTATACACTTAACAGCAATTTTCATAACACATTATTCAGAACATGGAATAGGATTATCCAATGGTGCTGACAAAATTCCATTTGCCTTTGATTGTATTTTTTTTAAACTAAAGGCAAACTGGAAGCAGGCACTACGTACTTACCCTCAATACTTAGCAGTGACTTTGATTGTAAAGTGAACCTTACAAAGTGCACCTTAAAGGTGTTTCTGACTTGCACTTCTGCTCCTTGTGCTGGTCTGTCTTTTCCACTTAATACTCTCTATTGCATTTTTATTACATAAAAAAAAGATAATGATGTAGTTTCTCAAGTTCCTGCAATCCAGTGGCAAATAAAGATTTAAAATGTGTCTGTTTTATTCCCTTTATGTGATTATCCTACATCATTGCTGAATATATGTCTCCCTGCATTAGGGGCAAGTCCCAGACATTTCATACATGTGTGTAAATAGAGCCAGCAGGTAAACTGTGATTTTCTATGTATTGCTGACAATGAATTTTATGGAAGTTGTATGATTTATAGACTAGGAAGCAAAAACTTGCAATAAAATACATTTTATCCATTCTTGTCTTTGCTGTTGTTTTCTGACGTTTATATAATTAACTGCTACAATAATCTACTTTTTATTTGTAAATTTATACACACTTTTATGAACCCTAAAGTATGTCTAAATTGGTAAATTGTAAAAGGGGGGGGCGTGGCCTGAACGCTGATGGCGACGGCAGCTTAACTCCGGAGCTCCGACCCGCGTAGCGAAAAAAGGCACACTAACTGCAGCAAACGCTCTATTAATGGGGCGCACTAAACGCTGGAAACCCACCAAGCACCCAGGAGGCAGTAGAACACCCCGCTGAGCGGCTCCCTGGACGGGTACTTCCAAACGCAGAGAAGGCCGCCTAGTGACACGCAGGGCCCAAAGATGGCCGACGGACCGACCACATCACCGGAGACGGAGTCACAAGCACTATCCCTAGCGGACATTAGGGCAGATATTTGAGCCCTAACTAGCACTATAGTCATGAAAGCAGACCTGAAAAACACGTCCGAAACGCTCCATGAGGCGATCCGAGCGTAAGTTGCCATGCTTGGGAATGACATAGCAGCGCAAGGCACCCGCATCCAGGCACTGGAGGCAGCAGAAAAAACAATCACTGGCTGTATAGAAGCTAATAACCTAGCTATCAACTGACAAGGTACCATCCTCCTACACCTCAGAAGGCAGGCAGAGGATCTGGATAATAGAGGACGTAAATCTAATATCAGAGTGCGCAACCTCCCTGAGCCACATAACGAGGAAAACGTGGAGGCCACACTTGCCGCATTGTTTAGAGAAATACTGGGCCCAGATGCACCGCCCAATATCAGATTTGACAGAGCCCACAGAGCAATACGACCGAGAAACATCGACAACTCACCCAGAGACATTATATATTGCCTACACGAATTTAAAGTTAAAGAACTTATGTCCAAAGCCCGATCCAAGCAGAGTTGGCCGTTCCAGGGAGCTGAGGTAGCCCTATACCAGGACTTGTCACCCCTTACACTAGAGGCTCACAGGGCTCTAAGGCCGATAACCCAACTCTTAAGAAGCCGAAATATACCATATAAATGGGGCTTCCCCTTTAGTCTGCTAGCCCGATATGAGAACGAATGGGTACCCGTGAGATGGCCAGATGAGGTACCGTTATTCCTGAGGAGACTAGGCCTGCCGCACACGGAGGTGGCTGACTGGATCCTGGGGCTGCTTGAACAACGACCTGGCCCCATGACGCAAAGAGCCGCTCGAAGGCGCAGAGAGGACTCACCGCGCAGACCACCAGCACACAGGTTTCCAAACCCGGCCCAACACGCCGAATGAGCGAGACACCGGTCCAAAGAAGTTGAATGCACGCACGTGCTCAGCATCATATACAGAGGTTGTTTTTGGGAAATAGACGTATGAGTGCTGCCAGCATTGCTGCAGAGGTTGAAGGGGTGGAGGGGTCAGTCTGTTAGTGCTCAGACCATACGCCAGTGCTCAGCCCCCGCATCGCGGGTGGGGACTCGGGAGAGGGGACCCCTTTTTATTTTTTTTATTTAACAGTGAGCCGCCACTGGCAGCTCACTGTTTACTAGAGATGCCCCTACTCGCGATATAGTGAGTAGGGGCATAATTTACTAATACTAAGTAATTTTTACTTAGTATTAGTAAATTTGGCTGAAAGACCAATTTAGGTCTTTAAGCCTTTTGGTAGATAACTCCCTAATACCGTGGGAATTAGGAAGTTATCTACCAAGCGGCTGCAAGAGAAGTTCAGAAGTGCCGAATTGCCGAGGTCCCGAAGTTCCAAAATTACAGAATTTCCGAAGTGTCAAAGTTCTGAACTGCCCAAGTCCCGAATTTCGGAATGCCGAACCGAACTGAAATTCTTTCCCATGCACATGCCTACAATTAACTGTTTTTAGGCTAAGGGGGTCTTGCCTATCCATGGGTTGAAAGCATAAGTGTCATTTTAGCATTGCATAGGGTCTATGGGTATGTAGGTACTTAGTGTAAGGACAGCGATAAGACAAGAATCTTTGGCGTTTTCAGTACTGAGGGGAGGGATGAGTCAAAAGGAGTTTAGATTAAAAGCCTTTGCTATCTGCATCCATATATTTCCCTGCCATGCATTATTATCTTCTGGTCTCAAGTAAAAGTAGCATATCTAAACAGAACATACAATGGTAAAGGATAAGAACACTTTCATGATGGTGGATCGGTAGGGTGCACTTGTTTGTAGTGGCTGGCGTGTATCCACGTGGGCTTGCCTTCCAGTTTTACACATATAGCTGTAGTTAACAATACTTGGCAGGGACCATCAAATCAAATGAGGCCTTGTCACCATGTTGTAATTGGAGTGTCTTGAGGGGAGAGACACAGGGAAAGGGGGAGGGAGAGAGATGGGGAGAGACACAGGGAAAGGGGGGAGGGAGAGAGATGGGGAGAGACACAGGGAGGAGGACAGCGATAAGACAAGATTGTATGGCGTTTTCAGTACTGAGGGGAGGGATGAGTCAAAAGGAGTTTAGATTAAAAGCCTTTGCTATCTGCATCCATATATTTCCCTGCCATGCATTATTATCTTCTGGTCTCAAGTAAAAGTGGCATATCTAAACAGAACATACAATGGTAAAGGATAAGAACACTTTCATGATGGTGGATCTGTAGGGTGCACTTGCACTTGAGATGGGGAGGAGGGGAGAGACACAGGGAAAGGGGGATGGGAGAGAGATGGGGAGGAGGGGAGAGACACAGGGAAAGGGGGGAGGGAGAGAGATGGGAGGGGAGAGACACAGGGAAAGGGGGAGGAGGAGAGGGAGGAGGGGAGAGACACAGGGAAAGGGCAGGGAGAGAGAGACACAGGAAAGGGGGGAGGAGAGACAGGAAGACGGAGGAGAGAGAGATGGGGAGGAGGGGGGAGAGACACAGGGAAAGGGACGGGAGAGAGATGGACAGGAGAGACAATACAGGCGGATAGAGAGAGATGGGGAGGAGGAGAGACACAGGGGTAGGGAGAGAGATGGGGAGGAGGGAGAGACACAGGGAAAGGGGGGAGGGAGAGAGATGAGGAGGAGGGGAGGGAGAGAGATGGGGAGGAGGGAGAGACACAGGGAAAGTGGGACGGGAAAGAGATGGGGAGGAGGGGAGAGACACAGGGAAAGGGGGAGGGAGAGAGATGGGGAGGAGGGGAGGGAGAGAGATGGGGAGGAGGGAGAGACACAGGGAAAGTGGGACGGGAAAGAGATGGGGAGGAGGGGAGAGACACAGGGAAAGGGGGTAGGGAGAGAGATGGGGAGGAGGGAGAGACACAGGGAAAGGAGGTGAAAGAGGCAGAGGGGGAAGAGAGAGACTAGGAAGGAGAGGGGAGACATTGACACAGAGGAGCAGTGAGGGGGAGAAAGAAACATACAGAGTGACTGGGGGAGACAAAAAGGCACACAGAGGGGCTGGAGATAAAGAGACACACATAGGGGCAGTATATATCACTGGTGGATGGGGGGGCAACGGCAACGCCCCCCCCCCCAGGCTATCCCCTGCCGGACGATCTCCCTCCCCGTTCCAAAGGCACCGTGCAGCCAGTCGGCAGGGGAAGAAGAGAGGACCTGGGGCAACGCTCCGGCTCTCACAAGGGTGAACTCTAGCCCTGGAGCTACGGGCTAGAGTTCACGCTCACCCCTTACTGGTGGTCCCAATAGTAGGAGTGAACTCCAGCCCCATACACACACTGCCCCCACACACACACACACACCATACACATTCACACACTGCCCAACAACACACTTTGCACCACTGGTCCTATACCCTACTACAGCCCCATATCCCAGCAGACTCCAGGTAAGTTGTCAAACTGTTCTTAAACAGTTTGACGACTTACTCTGGTTATTGTGCATGGAATATTTCTTTAAATAATCTTCAAGTGCCCCTCTCAGGCTCAGGCTCTGGATCCGCCACTAGTATATGACATGTATATTAATGTGTGTATTAGTTTTATATATATATATATATATATATATACCTATTATATTTACACATATTAATGTACATTTATATATGCATAATACACAGAGAAATTTCATTAATATGTACCATATGTAATGAGCAGATATTGGCCCAGTCTTGTTGCTAGGTGCATACTCCAGCACAATAACATATTTAAAGTGAAGAGCACACCCACAGGACTTCAAAATAAAAAATTTTTTACAGTTGTGCCCTACATACATTCACCATTTCAGTCCCATTAACAAGCTTTCCTTAATATGTCAAGGTAGTTGGACTGAAACATTGATTACATGCAAAGGCACGTCTGCTTAAAATAAATCTGCACTTTTGTTTATTTTGAAGCCTATGAGTGCGCTTTTTACGTTGAAGTACTTTTTAATTTTAAGTTATCTGTTCTAACTCTGTATCTGCACACTATGCTGGCGCAACGCATTATGGGGCTGGTAAATATTTTTTTTGCAGGGCTGCTTTTAATTCCCAGTCCGGCCCAGGTAGGGGATGTGGAAAACATGACTGATCCCTAGTGCTTTCATTATTTCTTGCATTATTTCCCCAGTAAAGGGGAACTGCCACTTTCAATCACTTCAGGTACCCCGTATCTACATACCATTTCCTTCAGAAGTTTACTTGCTGTGACCTTCGCTGTGGCTTTCGACATTAGGTAGGCCTCAGGCCAACCTGAAAAGAGATCAATGCACACCAACACATATTCATACACTCCTACCTTAGGCAGTTGAATATAGTCTATCTGCAGTCTCTAAAACTGGTTAAGTGGCCTTGGTATGTGTTTGCCAGGTGTTTTTACAGCCTGTCCTGTATTATTCCTAGCACAAATCATGCAAGCTTGGGTGTGTTTAGCTGCTACAACAGTAAATCAGGGTGCTACCCAATGGGTGTTTACTATGCTGTTCATGTGCATCTTGGATAGATGTGTAGGTCCATGGGCCATCATGGGATACAATATTCATGGCAAACACAGTCTTTTACCTTTTCTCCACATTTTGTCATCATCAGTTTCTGCATTTTGTTTCCTCCAGAGATCATGTTCTTCCTTGCTTGCTTGTTTCTGCAAGCTCAGCAGTATATTGTAGTCAACGGCGTTATCTGTAAGGACAACCTGTAGGAAGGAATTACCTGTAGAGGGATGAACTTGAATCGTTGCTTGATTTGCAGCTTTGTTGGCTTTGTGGTTTGCTCTTGTAAATTCATCTGTGATCTTCATGTGAGCTGCCACCTTGATGATGCCTACTTGAGTGGGTGGCAGTATAGTGTCCATAAGTGCACTCACCGCTCATATAGTCCCAAAGTCATGGGCTATACCAAAGACATAGCAAGAGTCTGTGTAACTATTAGCTGTCTTACCAGAGGCCAGTTTGCACGCTTCAGTGAGTGCCTTCAGCTCAGCCTCCTGGGCAGAGCAGTGAGGGGTAAGTGGTTCAGCTTTTATTACCTCATGTGCAGAGACTACAGCATATCCAGTGTGGTAGTTGCCCTTCTCATCAGCATATCTGGAACCATCTACAAAAAAACTCAAAGTCTGGTTTAGACAATGGGGAATCAATAACATGCAAAACACCTGCTGTCTCTTGTGCCATTAGTGCTGCACAGTTAAGGGGTACCTGGGCTTCAGCTAACTCACCTGGTGACACAGAATTTACAAAAAGATCAGAACTACAATCACCACTCCCCTGTTTTAAATCCAGGGGAATTAATGTAGATTAATTTAATACCATACCACCTTTTTATAGTGACATTTCCTCTCTCAGATCACCACCTCTTATAATTGGCTCTCAATAGCCCCCTACCCCATCATCCTCAACCTAACCCACCTTAACTAAAAAGAAACCTGAATCATATTGATAAGTAACTAAAAAAGAAAAAAAGAGAGCCTAGATATAAATATGAGGCACGAATATGGGTAGAAACAAAATGGGGGGTAACCCCTAAATGGTGAATTTATATGAATACAAAAAAGAAAAGAAAAAAACTACCATAAAGTGTCTCAACATTTTGGTAAATATAGTCACAATAAAATGGGCACAAAAAATAACTTTTAATGGATATATTCAAATGTAAAATAGAAATGATAAAAGCAAAACAAAAAGCACAAGGCTACAAATTAATATGTCCTATAAACTAGTTGGGGTATTAAACCTCCAATAGAACCAATAGAAAGAGAAGTGTTGCTTCAAATAAATACTTATTGGTGTAAAGTCAAACTACTTGCTATGAACAATGTGACTGAATTCTAAATAGTAAAGTGGGATACTAGTATCTTCAAAACTCTTCCTGCAGAACAGGGTAGGTTGAATATAGATGAAATGCCTCTAGTGCAC